ATTTGTCCACATCTTTCTTAAAGTGTGGTGTCCAGAACTGGACTCAGTACTCCAGCTGAGGCCTCACCAGTGCCAAGAAGAGTGGGACAGTTATCTCACATGTCTTACATACAGCACTGCTGTTATTACACCCCAGAATGATATTTGCCTTTTTTGCAACTGTATTACGTTGTTGACACATATTCAATCCACCATAAAAACCCCCAGATCCTTTTCAGCAATACTACTGTTAAGCAAGTTATTTCCCTTTTGTAGCTGTGCATTTGATTTTCCTTCTTAAGTGTAGCACTTTGCACTTACCTTTATTAAATTTAATCTTGTTGAATTCAAACAAATTCTCCAATTTGCCAAGGCTGTTTTGAATTCTAATCCTGTCCTCCAAAATGCAAGCAACCCTTCTCAGCTGGGTGTAATCCGCAAATTTTATAAGCATACTTTCCACTGCATTATACAATCATTAATGAAAATGTTGACTAGCACCAGACCCAGGCGGCCCAGGGCCCCATTTGATATGCCTCCCAGTTTGACAACGAATGGGACTGGCTGAATAAGTGACTGATAATCTAGTCATAGGTATCAGAATATAACAAAAAGGATTAAAAGCCTCTAGGGAACATCTGAAAATAATCCTGAAAATCCACATGATTATTCAAATGGATATTTCCTGTTACAAGCAGGATGAGAGGGCTGAGACATCAGAAATGGGGACAATCACCTACTGAAAATAAAATTTGAGAGCTAAATTGTGCCCACCTGGCACAGGCCCACAGTGACTGTGGGGTAGAGCCACACTGCCCTGGAAGGACATAAGGAGTCACAATGCCTCAGGATGATAATGCCTTCCAGGGCTCCTAGGACGAAGGAAAGCAGAAGGGTTGTAATTGTGGTTGGCTCCTGCATGGGCTGGGGAGAAATAGGGAACCCTGCCCCACTTGGATACATTTAAAGGCCAATGAAAAATCTGCCACCAAATGGGGAAATGACTCATCAAGTTAAAAATGTCACAATGCATCCAATCCATCCTTCAGAATTGCACTAACATTAAAGGCGAACACCAAAATTTTTAAAACTTAACAGCATAAAGTTAAGCACCTAAATCTGTATCTAGGCTCCCAAATAAATGGCTTCATTTGCAGAGAATCTGAGCATTCACAGCTTCCATTAGAGTGAATTAGAGATCAGAGGTGCTGAGTACCTCTGAAAATCAGGCATTTATTTGGAAGCCTAAATATGGATTCAGGCACTTTGCTTTAGGCTCCCAAATTTGAAAAGTTTGGCCTGAATTCCCATACGATGAATAAAATATTGCACTAGAGAGTCACTTTTTTTCCACACTTTGGATCTGATCTGGAGAGGCTGCAGAGTTCCTGAAACTTCAGCTGATGTCAGTGGGTGTTCAAAACCTCTGAGGATCAGGCCTATTATGCATTAAAATAAATTCAGCCTTAAATAACATGCTTGCAACAAAAACTCGTGTATCTAGAATCAGTGAAACCCAAATGACATTTCATTATTTGGAGCTGTTAATTTCCTTTGACTCATTCTAATGATGTAGCTGAAAAGTGGCATATATCCACCAATCGCTGAAATGTCATCTGTCAATGTCATTCTGATATGGAATCTGTGCTTCTAGCTATAAACATATATAATTCTCATAAGTCTCAAATGGGAGTCACGAACCCTTCTTATATAAAGTACACACATTCCTTAGTAAAAAACCAAACCAAACCAAACCCCATACATGTTATGGAAAATAAGCGTTGACACTTCACTGTTAAGCTCTTTTTATTGAGTGCAGAACTGCAGTGTGTTTGGTAAAATTATTTAGAATTCCCTCTTTAGTTATTTGATTGAAAAACTGTCAACACTTATCATTTTGATATTTAAGTATCAATGAGAAAACCAAGGCAGAGTGTTCAAGGGACTTACCCAAAGTCACATTCAAGGTCTGTGGAAGAGCAAAGAATAGATCCCAGCTCTCTTACATTTTATTCACAAAATCATTCTTCCTCTCCAAATCTCAAACAGTACTTGGTAGGCCTTGGAGCCACAGCAGGTTGGCTTTTATTATTTTTTATATTACTGTAGTGCCTAGGAACCCCAGTCATGGACCAGGACCCCCACGGTGCTAGGTGCTGCACAAACACAGAACAAAAAGGCAGGTCCTTCCCCAAGGAGCATTTGCCCATAGGAGGAGATGTTTTCAGAATGGAAATTGTTTTGTTTCCCACACACATTCCAATCTTGTACTAGAAGAAAAGCATAAGCAACAGACTGTGACAAATTATTTTGAAACTGAGGCCTGGTCTACACTAAAGAGTGTGAAAAATCCACAGCCATACGCAACATATTTAAGTCGACATAACCCCTGGCGTAAACAGCACTAGGTCGACGGAAGAATTCTTTCCTTGACCTAACTACTGCCTCTTGGGGAAGTGGATTACCTGCACCAAAGGGAGAACCCCTCCCGTCAACATAGAGAGCATCTCTCCTGAAGCACTAAAGCAGCACAGCATCTCAAGTGTAAGCAAGCCCTGAATCCTGTTGAAGTGAGTCTCTTTTTAGCTCAAGGAATCATTACAGCCCTTTATGGTAAAAATGCTGTCATTTTGCTGAAATCAGTAACAAAACAAAAAGCCCTGGATGTGTTGGTCCAGATTCTGTTCTCACCAGAGTAACTCCATTAAACAAAGGAGTTCTTGTGGCACCTTAGAGACTAACCAATTTGTTTGAGCATAAGCTTTCGTGAGCTCATCCGATGAAGTGAGCTGTAGCTCACGAAAGCTCATGCTCAAATAAATTTTAGTGTCTATGGTGCCACAAGTCCTCCTGTTCTTTTTGCGAATACAGACTAACACGGCTGCTCCTCTGAAACCTCCATTAAACATGTGAGTTGCAGAGTTGTTGTAGCCATGTTGGGAGACATGGGTGAGGTAATACCTTATTGGACCAACTTCTGTTAGTGGAAGAGACAAGCTTTCGAGCTACACAGAGCTCTACTTCAGGTCTGGGAAAAGTAATCAGAGTGTCACAGCTGAATACAAGGTGGGACAGATTGTTAAGCACAAGGTGTAAACACGTTGCAGGAGACCAGTTAAAGTGAAGTGGGGAATTAACACCTCTGCAGTCATAGGACAAACGAGGGTTAGTAGGTTACAAATTGCTGTAGTGAGCCATAAAACCAGTGTCTCTGGTTTTATGATTTTTGGGGTCTAGCAGAGTTATGAATTTAAGTTCACAGGCTTGTCTTTTGAAGGTGTTTTTCAGGTTTCCTTTGAGGACAAGGACAGAGATCCCATGTGGAATGATCGCTTTGTGAAAGTGTTCACGCATGGGTGATAGGGTGTTTTTGTTTTATTTTTCTGTGGGAGTTCAGTTGAAAGCACAGTGATTATCTCATTTCACGTAGCTGTACCTAAACCAGTGCATCAAATGCCCCACCAACAGCTATGTGGGTGAAACCACGCCAATCACTACACTCTTGAATGAACTCACATGAAAAACTACTTGGATATCCTCAATGCCAACAGAAGACCGTGCACTACAGAGCGCTTCTGGCTCTACCCTGTCCCTCCAACAAAAATGCACAGAGCCCAATACCAGCATTGAACCTGTAGCGAGGGCTCCATTGTATTCTGGGGAATGGAGAACAACTGCAAGGAGACAGTAACCACTCTTTCTCCAGGGGTATTTAAATACTCTTCACTCACCTAACTGGCCTATCTTTTGCATGGATAAATATCTGTACAATTTTTGTTATATAATTGGATAAGTCTCTTACACAAGTAAACATTTACTTTACTATCTGTTAGTAACTGAAAATTACCAAGCAATTTTCAACCAAAATTAGTAATTTGACGTGACCATTAGATTAGTCAGTATTTTCTGAGTGTTCATAATAAGCATAACTGAGGAACACCTGCAAGCTCCTTGTTGCAATCAGAAGGAAACTAACGAATCAGTATCATTTAAGTAAGCGAAGCCATTCTACCACCTAGCATGTGCGGAACTGCTGGTGCAGGTGGTCACCATACACTGGAAACTAATATATGGATCACTGAAAGGATCAAGTAAACAAAGATGCAGAATACCCTGACAGGTTTCCAGTGTAGTTCAGTAACTACAATATGATTATGTTGCTGATATGCAGACTTGGAGAGGAGCTCTTTCCCATAATACTTGGATATGCATGTTCCTGAAGGTTCTGAGGTTTAGCAGTTCATGACGTTCATGTAGTACAGTGAAACAGGCAGTTCAATATACAGTTCTATGTTGGATAATGATGTTTGCAGAAGTTACTGTGAGCAGAGGTTGGGTTATATTAAAAGTTGGGAGTGAAGCAGCAGCATGCACTGTTTTTGCCATTCTGTAATATCTGTCAAAGGTTTCCAGAGCACTTCACAAATAATTAGGCCTTGTTATACCCAATGAAGTATGAGAGGGGTGTTAATCCCATTTTCCAGATGAGCAAATCACAGCACAGAGAAGTTATGTGAATTGTTCCAGAACTCTCACATAACCAGTGTGAGTTGGGAAACAATGCTCCCTAAGTACTCATGTTCCACAAGTAACAGAAGCAGCTGTTTCCTGCCGTTTTCTACACTCAGCAAAGAAAACTGTTGACAGAAGATGGCAAGCAGAAAAGAGTGGAGCTCCTGAGAAGTGACTAAGAAGGAGAAAAGTGAAAGTCTCATCTACCTTTATTTATAAATATTTGGAATTTATGTCACCTATAAAGAAACTTCAGGCTCCAGCTAACAACTCACAATTACAATAAAACACATGCAGACTCTGAATAGGTCACTTCTTCTAGGAAGCAACTGCTTTCAAAAAATACCTTTATTCATTGCATGTATTATAAGGTGACAATACACTTGATAAACTGAAGACAACCTTAACACTTGTTCATCTTCTGTGGCGTCTGCAGTCAGGTCACCGGAAGGACTCCCTGTAATCAATCAGCCAGCGGGGGGAAACAAAACAAGTGATGGCACCCTTACCTCCAACCCCATCTTCAGAATCAACCTCGTAGATGCTCTCCCCTTCCATGTTCTCTGCAGGGCCAGGTTGACTGTAAGGTTTTCTAGTGGTGACCTGTTTCAGGCTCCAGAAGGAAGATGAATCCACACACTCTGCAGCCAGCAAGTAGTATCTTTCAAACAAAAATGTAAAAATAAAGCCATTGGATTATTTCTGCTAAACATTTTAGAGATTGCTTTTTTTCCTTGCCCCCCAAAATTATAGGATCTTCTGTATCAACCAGTTCTGATGGCAGAGATCCTCATCTTGGGCCACAGAATACCACTGGACAGCTCTAAGAGAGTGAGGTTTAAGCAGAGAAAACATTCCAATTCATCCAGTGGACATTCCATCTGTAGATAGGTGTAAAGATTGGCGTGCACAGAAAAAGCACAAACAAAACCTCTCATGTAGCTAAAGATAAAGGGAAACAGACAGCAGGAAAGCCTCACTCCTTTTCCCATATTGGACCTAAGTATCTACCTCTTTCCATTACCCACCTCCAATCTATGTTTGTGTCTCATAGTCAATGTAATTTCCACATCTTTCTTTTTAAAACAAAAATCGCACATGGATGGGAAATTATACTGATGAATCAGGACATGTCCATGTCTCTGAATGGAAGAAACCAACAGCAGTAGAGTAGGGAGGAGTTACTAGAGTAGTTTTTGATGGAAGAGGTGGAGAACTATTCCCAACCTTCAAACACCATTCTCAGATGCTCATGGTTTATATAAATGAGAGGTGAGACCAAAACCACTCTTTTTCTCTGGGTATGAATTCTGCAAACCCGTTGGACTTAGAGAAGAAAATGGAAAATGAAATACAGCATTAAGAACACACTGGCAGACCCATGTCTTAGATGAGCGAACTGGGACAGGACAAGAACACAACACAAGATCCAAGAACGATGGCTTGGATCAAATACATAATGATCTGGCCTACAGAACAAAGGTCAGGTACTACAGGTTACAGACCAGTGCATTGGTAATCTTCAGCCTTTGTCAGTTTCACATGAGTGAGTAACTAATGAAGGTCCTTCTCTTTTGCTTTCCTACATCATTAGGACTCCAGCCAAAATGCTCTATCCAACAGCCTTTTACAGAGAGGGCTGAGAAGGGGACAGAAAATTTTCACAGTGACAAGTGAGTTGGGCCCATATATGTTTTGTTGTTTTCAGTTTCCCTTCTTCAACTTAACAACAAATTAGCAGGGTCACATCAACAAATCAGTGTGTATACATATATTAGAAAACAGTTCAAGTGCTATGTCATTTTGTTGGTAAAAGAAGTGCATACCTAAGTGTTTTACACCAGATGACCTGTACATCTTCAATTGCTTCAAGCTTCCCACTCAGCTTCTGCATGTTTTTGTCCACTTCCCTCTGGTTGAGCCAGCTCTTTCAGTGAGCCATGTTATACTGCATGCAAGGCACTGCAAAACACTCAGCAGATGGTCCATGGAGCGACAGTTGTGGTGCACGCTTCTTGTAATGTTCTGGCTTCTCAACCTCATTTTAATGTTCCAGAAAAGGTATTTCAAATCAAGGCTCAAGTTTATCAGAACGATTATATCTACCATTGGCTTGGGTTTAAGGGTTGAGAAAGGGTCCATACAGTAACACTGATTTTCAGTGATGAAGTATCCATTACAAAAACTCTTTGTTTGGTAAAGAATAAATAGGTTCCATTTAATAAAAAAAAATATTTTAACATACTTACCAAACAACTGGAATTCAGTGGCCAGAATATCAACATCTGGGTAAGTGTTCACATCTGAAATGTTTAGATGCCATATGTAGATCTAGGGTATTTTGCAAGAATGTTAAAAATGACGGTCCCTGTTTATAAACTACGGTGCCATCAGCTATGCATCCCATGGCTTGAAAAAATATGTTTGATTTTTCTAGGATTTAGTATTGTTTCTGTACAACTAAATGAATTTTTAGCTATAGGTTTTTAGAAAGTCTGCAGTGCAAATTCTCATAATTTGAATTTTCAACCAAAAGTACTTGTGAGTTCTCATTGTGGAAATATTTCCTGGTTCCATTCAGATCATCTGATTGTAAACATTGGCTGGACAGATTAGTCCTTCTATAAAGTGATAGATATTGTTGTGAGATTTGTATAAAGTGGCTGGTGGCCAGATGGTATAGCACAGTGTCTAGAAACAAAAAAAGTTACCTTTACCCACTGAAATGTACCTAATTCAGACACACATTTTCATGTCTAGTGCTAAAATGTCAAAAAGACAATGACTTGAGCATGGCTTGCTCTCCCATAGACTAGATCACAGAGGTCTGAGATCTCTTTTTTATCCAAATAGCAAAGATAGAACTATTCTCACTTTTGATCTACAGTAGTTTTTTCTATTCCCCAAATGTACCAAAGAATGTAAGGTGTATGCTGCCACACAGAATATTCTCTTCAATCTGCACTACTTAGAGCTATTAACATCTAATTCGTTTTGTTCTATTGTGATATCAGTCAAAGGAAAGAGGTCTGATGGAAAATGTTCAATATATATGATACAGGTATTATGCAGCTTAATATATTTGTTTATCTGTGTCTAAATACTGTATAATTGTGTGCCTTTGTCAAAACCTCCTTAATGTAGCCCACTTTACAGTGTGGTACTAAAATAAATCAAGTTTATATCCCTTTATGAAAACATATGTGCAGAGGAGTAAATTATAGGGATTCCAAAGAATTAAATGTATGACTGTTGGTTATTAAAATTAGGTATTGGTATTATATTGCAGTTCAGGTACTTCCCAAACAGTGAATTTCTAACTGTGTACAGAGAAATTAATTCCCAGAGAACTCATCTTCCTCTAGTCAAAAAATTATCACCAGGCCTATTCTGGGAAATGAGTGAGGTGAAGAAAAAAGGAAAACGGTAAAACTACTTTTTTAATCATGTATTATTTTACATTTGTTCCTTTTCTAACATACTTTTCTTTATGTCATGCTTGCTGAATCTCTCCATGTTCCAGCTGCACAACGGTTGCTATTAACAGCACTTCACCCATAGTTGAACCATTTTTTATCTAGGGGAAAAAATACTCTATTGTTCAGTTCCCTAGTTATGAGAATTTTTTTAATTAAAAACTGAAACCAAACTGCTGCCGCAGTACTGAAAACTTACAGCTGCTCAGATGTAATCACAGCAGCGGGGAAAAAGCACAGAGGTGGAATTTTTAGAGCAGAATTGCTTCACACTTGGCTGTGTTGGGGATTAGCTTTGCTTTCTGTCTGAGACGCATGAATTTGGAATTTAAGAAGTTTGCTGCTCCTGTTTGTTTTTTCTTCTTGGCTAGAAGGCTAAAGTATGAGTCATGAATGGAGTTAGTACAGAACAGAAATGATGCACTGATGGGTTCCACACATTCCAAATTTGCGAGGGTCAAAACATCTACAGTACAAATTATTCCCTTTGGTTGCGTTGTCTCATTTTTAAACAGTATAATGCTCCTTTTTCAACCTACTGCATGCCGCTCCTTAACACCACATAATGAGCACATTTCAACGCCAAGTTCCAGGAGGTAGAGCAATGGTGTGTAACCTGTGACCTGGGCACACTTGTTTCCTTTGAGGTGCTACACTGTTACCTTCTAGAGTACTGTACTAAGAAAATGTGTATTTGATTATGATCTGAAAGTGAGAGCAAACTGAATTGTTTGAATCAGCACTGTTGCTATGGGGAGGAGGCAGCAGGGACAAAGGTAGGAGCCCCACAGGCTGAGGGAGCCCCAGGGAGAGCATGGGAGCTCACTAGGCCCTTCCTAAACCTCGGGCAGCCTCCCCAGCTGCCCAGGACAGGGGAAAAAAGGCAAAGCTGAGAACCAGCAACTGGTTATAAATCTCTGATTCTCTGATCCAGATTAAAACAGTCTTGTTGTTGCTCTAAACTTGTGCCAACTAGCTATGTTCCCAAGGATGTATGTGGCAGCTAAGGACAGGCAGAGTACAACATGTTCCCACAACGCCTTTTCCAACCCCCGGAACATATTCCTGGTGCCAGGGTCTGCAGAGAGGGAGATGTAGAACCTGTAGATGCTAGTTTTACACTCACTGGAGACTCCCATGAACTGGGAGAATCCCCAGCCACGCAGAGGCGACGTGTGGGGTGGGGGGGTACGCAGGGTCACGTCCCCGTTCCCCCCCCCCCAGGATTTTTGCCTTCCATTTAGCACAGAGGTTTTCAAACTGTGGGGCACACCCACCTAGGGTCCCCCACCATTTGAAAACCGTCACTTCCTACCAGGAGCCGGCAGATCGGAAGCTGGTGGGAGCCGCCTGGGCCCCTAGCTCTCCGGGCTGTGGGAGCCAAGGCATTGGCTGGCTGCCCAGCAGCCCTCCCTGCCCTGCTCCCTGAACTGGGATGTCTTTGTACGGCTGGGTGCTCCCCAGGCAAGGCAGGTGGCACAGCTCCAAGATGCACCCCCGACGTGCTCTTGCCTCTCCCCCAAAGGAGCCTGGCACCAGCCGGCGATGCCCCCTGCCTGCAGAATCCGGCTGCCACACAATGCTCCCCGAGGCACTCGCTTGCCACTGCCCTGGTGCTTCTGGCTCTGCTGCTGCTTCTCAGCCCAGAGGAGATGAGTGCGGCAGTCACGTGCTCCCCCCCCAAGAGTTACGCTTCATCTCTGACAGCCAGACATGTGCAGGTCATCTCTGCTCCCTTTGTGCTGCCTGCGCCCCAGAAAATATGTTCTAAAGTACTGATAGAGGCCCTCGACCTTTCTGAAATGACACGTTCGGCTCTCTGGCTGGAAAGGTTGGACACAGAAGAACTCAAACATTAACGCTTGGTAAAGTACTAATACTGCCTTACAGCTACATTTTAAAATACAAACAGACAAGCAAACAATTAAAAACAGTGAAGTGCTTTCTGACATGATTTAGAAACGTGCAAAAATCAGGACATGGAAAAAATACTTAGCATTTATTAGCACTTTCCATTGCCAAAGCACTTTGCAAACATTACCCCTGGAAATCAGAAAGACGTCCACTGATTTCAATGGGCTTTGCATCAAGCCCTAAGTTGACATCCATGCAATAAGTGTGATATGAAGAGAAGCCCAAATGTGGATATTTCCCACAGTGACCCAACCAATACATACACCTCTTC